GCAAATTCATACCTTTTATATACTTGAAAGAAATTTGAAAATTCCATGAAAAAGATCCTTGACATGTTTTATAACTTTAAAACATATTTGTCAAGTCAAGATCTTTCATAAAAAGTGGTTGGAAGCAAGCCAGAAGACATTTAAACTTAAAATTTGCTGCATAATTTGATTACTCTTTCGTATATTTTTTGTATTAAAGATGATAGATTTGGATCTTGTGTTCTACATAGAAGTTGTAGATCTCTCTTTGATCTTTCCAAACAGACCAAGATCACATCAATCCGATAAGAATAGCTCAAGTTATGCCTAAAATACAAAATAATATTCTTGTTGTCAAGGGATGATTTGAATCCCTCATGAAAGGATTCAAATTCATTGATCCCAAAAGCAAGGATTCGAATACGAAAAGGATTCAAATCTTATTGTCCAAAATGCATATAACGGCTATAAATAACTATTTTTCAATGGAAACAATATATATGCATTCTCAACGGCTCTAAAACGTTTAAGACATCATTTTTACACATCCTAAGCATACTTTGAGAGTCTCTGCACTATCATTTCCATATTCTTTCATATCTTTCAAAAATCAAACATATTTGAGCTTATATTGTGAAAATTCATATACCATAGTGCTTCAAGTTGTATATCCATAGTTTGGGAGTTTATATTTATTTCCAAACACATCATTATTTGTATTCTTGAGTTGAGAGGGTTGTAAGACCCATGGTATTTTAGAGGTACCCAAATACCTAAGTAAATTTGGAGTGAAAGGCATCCAAGAGCCCGAAGTCTTGGATGGTTGTAGTGGTTTGTCAAGCACATATGAAGCTTGACGAATAGTGAAAGAATTGATTGATCAACTTCAGTCTAGACGTAGGTCACAAGTGGTAGTCACCGAACCAGGATATGTTGAGTTTGCATTTTTCTAAAAACCCTCACTATTTATTTCTAGCACTTTAATTGCTTCTTTGATATCTTGTATGTGCTAGCACATGCTTTATAATTATGGTATATTATATGTTATGAATTGTTTGAATGTATTAATTAGCTTTTCTTATATTAAAGCTTGCTTGAAATGATAACTTAGAATCCAAAAGGGGTTTTTGCAAAAAATTTGTAATACTCAATTCACTCCTTCTTGAGTATGGAAACCACATTCCTAACAGTTAGATTAATAGTTGTTAATTACTTACACTAATATTAAAATTTAAAAAAACTAAAACAAATTTCTAAAAGTTATTTTCAATCTTTTTTATTCTTGATTATGTTATGATTTTAACATAAAAGCACTGTATTCTTGATAACTAACATTTTATACCATTTCATACTTATTTGGATAATTACTATATAGAAGTAAATGTTTATACAATTCAAATAAAAAAAATCATCTTAAAAATTGATTGTTTGTTAAGATATTCGAACAATAAATTTTATTATAACTGAATTTTGAATAATATTTTATCAAGCTAACCCATATATACACCTTTATATTAGGGCTTTTTGACCACTGTAGTTTTTAATTAACAATTAATTACCAATTCGTCCTTCAACCAAAATATATCACCATCTGCCCATGTTTTACTGTACAGAACGTAATATACCCGGGTATAATTTGAAAATTTCACCCTACCCGGGTATTCAAGTGGGATACCCGGGTATTATTCAAAATATGGGAAATGGCTTGAATTATTTACCCGGGTAGGGATAGGGATACCCAGGTAAATTTTGCGGGTAGGGTTTTTAAATAACCCACCAGCCCCCATTTGAAAAACCCACAAAGGGGATAGAGCTGCTGGAAGTGTGCACTCATCATGTCCCACACCAAATCTTGCTGAAATTCTTCCTCTTTTTGATTATTAGTTTGCGCACCATACACTGCTGCCTTGTACCGATTCAATTTCATTGAAGGTACATTTTTTTTCCTTTTTAACAAAGCATTCTGATTGTGATATGTTTGTCACATTGTTGTTAAAAATTATTACGCTTTTTTAGTTTGCGTGGTTAAACATTGGATTCTGACCGTTTAATTTTTAAAAGTCCTAACACTAACCCTAACCCTAACCTTAACCATTATTATTTTGATTTTTGATTTTGCCTTTTTTTTTTTTCAGTTTCATAGTGTGACTGAATGGCTGATAGACGCGTTTCAAAGAAGAGAGCGGGGGATACCGAGAGGAGACCAAGCGTCAACATGATGTGTCGTCATCTTCTCAGCCTCATGCAGCTATGCATCAGGCTCCGGATTTGTCGTTCGGATATTTATTTGAGGATGACAATGATGCACACGAGAGGTTTGTGAAGTCTTTCATGACCCGCAAGATTTGCGAGCCGAAATCATTGGATTCGGCTTCGGCCTTCTTCAACTTGGAGCGTTTCGACATTGTGCCACATCTTCAGCAGACACATTTGCTAGTGCTTGCGCAGATGAGGTGCCCATACTCGGAGGTAAGAAACAAATATTTCCTCTATCAAACGCCCCTAAGTGAAAAAGCTGACAAGAATCAGAAAACTTTTCTAATGTTCCGATATCATTTTTTATGTACCAAACTATTTTTTGATAATATTTTCAGAAAATTCACTTTCCTACAATATTTCCAGGAATTATAATTTTCACATAAAAAAAAAAATCCCCCTTTACAAACACCCCTAGCCAAAATCAAAATACAAGCAACCAAGTAAAACATATCAAAATACAAGCAAAAGATGAGTTCCTCCCATAAAGAGGCGTGACGACGACTCATGGTTTTATGTTTTTGATTTGTGCTTGAATTCCACGCCAACGGTATATGGTCCATTTAGAATAAATAATATTTTTTAAAAATCCATTAAATCCATTTAAAAATAAAATTAAAAATAAGGAGATATTACCAATTTTATTTAAATTGAAAAAAAATTGAAAAGTCATTTTTATTTTATAAATTCATCTTTTAAAAACTCAGATCAAAGGTCTAATTATACTTAAGGATTGGTAAAAACTTAATCTTACTGTACTTTTGAAATATTTATTTGAAAAAAATATTTAAATTGATTATTCAAATTATTCATAATTTATATTTTTTTTTTTTTGCTGCAATCCCAAATCAAATAAAATCATAAACTCAAGAAAACTTAAAAAAAATTCTTTTGTTTTTCCTAATTCTACATATTTTTTATTGTTTATAATCTTTTAATAAAGAAAATACTTAAAGAAATTATTTAACAACAATACTCTAATGTTAACAAGAAGTAAACCATATCTAAATAATTTTGAAAAGAAAAATAAAAAAAACCATTGTCATTTTCTTTGTTTTAACCATAATAAAATGAAAATCTTGAATTCTATAATGTTAGAGCTAATATCAAAGTGTGCTTAAAGTTATAAAAAATTATTGATCTAAATGGTATGGAGCTTCATTCCCTTAATCAGAAGTTTGAGTTCAAATTTTCAGAATTAAAAAATGATGTTGCGCGAGCTGCCTCCTATATAAGTCCAATAAAAGAAAAAGAATGTGCGACGGGAGAAGAAGTTTGAATATTTATCATTAATATTCACTTATTGTCACCCAAAGTCAATATATTTTCAAAAGTAAAATACATTAAAAACATTAATTGTGTTAAAATAACATATCAGCTAAATGACTATTCAGTATTAGATGGACTTAATAACCAATAAGCTGAAATGTATGCGTACTTTCATTTCTTCCATATTTTTCAAGCCGAAACATTAATTCTTCCTACTTTTAAAGCATGTTAAAGAACATAAAATTAAATATTCTTATTATTTTTTCTGTTTTCGAAGTAAAATAAAATACATATTAGAATATAATAAATAGAAAATAGTGACGAAACCAAAAAAATAAATACAAAATTGATTTAAATAATTTATATTTGGTGTTTAAGTGGTTAAGATAAAATTTGGACAGCATAAACTTTGCACCATTATCGTCGAGATTCATTTTGGAGAAGTGGTTTTGGACATGACAATGACAAAATTTAGTTCTTCTTTGCAATTGCAGATTTTTTTTTTCTTTTACAATTTTCATGAATAATTTTTCAATATTGTTGAAATTTTAACATGGTGTTTTGGACCCGTTTGGATAGACTTATGATTTTTTTTTTTATGTTTTGTTTATTTTATAAGTTTTTTTTATAAAAGATAAAATTATTTAAATTTTTATAGGTTTTGAAAAAATTATTTAGCTTTTGACTTCTATTTAATTTTTAAATTAAAAAGAAAAAGTACTTTTTTAGCTTTTTTTTTTAAAAACAAACATACATATAAATTTTATAAGGGGCATGTTATATTTACAAATTTTTTTGTTTACAAACTCTTATAAACTACACTATGTTCTCCATTTGTAAAATTTTTCAAAAAAAGTTTGTAAACAGATCCGTCCCTATTTTATAATTGAAATATATATAGATAAAATCATTTCTGCAGCCGCTTTACGTACAACAACAACATGTGTATGATTATGATTTCTCAATACTTTCGTCCTTTGTATGGTTATGATTCTCCGCATTTAATACTTTTAAGTATTTGATTGCTACACATACAACAGCAGCTGCAGAAATGTAAACTATATATATATATATTTAAAAAAGCCCATTCATACGTCCTTTACAATGAATTATCAATATATTTAAAGGAAAAATATTTTTTCTAGATAAAATTATCTCAGCTCAAAACGATATCATTTTAAAGTTAAAAGATTAAAAAATTATAATAATAAAGACTAATATAATTTTAAAATATATTAGAATTACAAAAACACTTTGATATTTGTTCCAAAACGACGTTATCTTAAGCTCACCGGAGATAACTTATCTCCGTTGAGCGGAGAAATCATTTATCTTATATTTAATCATTTTTATTGAATTGATTTTACTTTTTTGTCCTGCCCATTGTTGCTTTATCCCCACGCTGACGCTGTGGTTGCAACTGCGACACAAAAAAGTAAGTAAACAAAGCACACCGCCACTACACAGTCAGTCTCTTTTTATTTTCCCTCGCCAATTTTAAACCGTCTGGAAAAAAGAAGAAGGAGAAGCTAAATTAAACAATAATAATAATTCTGGAAATTCAAGCAATAAAAGAAGTGCACAGACAGAAACATTGAAAAGGGAAAAAAGCAAACCACGGGAAAGAAGGAAAGATGTACAAGCTTTTCAACAGAGGCAGGGACAATTCCGCCGATGCCTCACCGCCATACGCGGCGGCGACGACGTCGGCTTCTCCGGTCACTGGCCCCGCAAGGCCCATACGGCTCGTCTACTGCGACGAGAAGGGAAAGTTCCGGATGGATCCAGAAGCCGTCGCGACGCTCCAGCTGGTCAAGGAGCCCATTGGCGTCGTCTCCGTCTGTGGAAGGGCTCGCCAGGGCAAGAGCTTCATCTTGAATCAGGTGATTTTCTCCACCTCGTGTTTCAATTGGAGTGGAAATTTTATGAGTTTTGAAGTCTAGGGTTTTGGATTGTATGTTGCCACTGATAATTAGGGTTTTATCACGTGGATAGTTATTCAGCGGGGTAACTGTAGATTGCCGTTGTGTTTTTTGATTAACTTTGGGAGAAGAATCGTTTTTATTTTGCAATAAGTTTTCTCATTAAGATTTTGATTATAAATGGTTTTGAACACAAAATAAGATAATCCAAACCTATTTGTTGGTTGGTTTGGGGACCGTTCTTTTGAGTAGCTAATAGAACATACTGGGAAAGTGGCTTTGTGATTTTGAACTTGTCTGCTTGTTTGGTTATTCTTTTACAACAAGTAGTTTGTGGGTTATTGTTTCCTTTTGGACCTTGTTGAAAATTGGGTGCGAAATTCTGTGGCTAATCCATAGCATATGTGGAAGAGAAATACTCCCGGACTATTTTTTTGTGCTATTGAATTGTTTACTTGACTGGGAACATTTTGGGCTCTAGCTTTATTTTTTTTGTGTCAATCTGAGATGTTACTTCTCCACTTGCATTATTTCTGTGGGTATTGAAATAAAATAGCTAAATAAGTGAGGCTCTATTGTTATTATCAGTATTATAGATTTGCTGCTTACGGTTTTGTATGGCAGCTTTTAGGAAGGAGTAGTGGATTTCAAGTGGCATCAACGCATCGGCCATGTACGAAAGGGCTTTGGCTGTGGAGTACACCTTTGAGGAGGACTGCTCTTGACGGAACAGAGTACAATCTCCTGCTTTTAGACAGTGAAGGAATAGATGCTTATGATCAAACGGTCAGCTTTTCAGTTTTCTATGTGTTAAGATATTTGCTTATTTTCTTGTTTACATGTAGGTTGTCCATTTCTATTCATTGTTATGTTGTCTTACTCTGCATTTTTACTATACAGGGAACATACAGCACCCAGATATTCTCACTGGCTGTCCTTTTGTCTAGCATGTTCATTTATAACCAGGTTGGCACAGCCTATTGAAACCAATATTTTCTTAGGCATAATTGTTTTTTTTTTTTTTTTTCTTGTATGTCTTCTTTCGTTTTGACATTTCATGACCAGTCTGTGGCTCTGTTATTGGTGTAGAATTTATTCCCTCTTCTCCTCTCTCTCTTTTTTTTAATTCTTACTGAAATTGGAATATGCTATTTCACTTCCCCAGATGGGTGGTATAGATGAGGCTGCCCTTGATCGTCTTTCTCTTGTCACTGAAATGACAAAGCACATTCGTGTTAGAGCATCTGGAGGAAAGAGTTCTGCATCTGAACTAGGACAGTTTTCTCCAATTTTTGTTTGGCTCTTACGGGTAGGTTATGTACTATCACAAATGTTGGGAAACTAAAAAAATGTCATTATATTGTAGTTTGATGGTATCTTAGCATACTTTGACTGTCTAGTCTCATTCTTTGCTTTATTTGTCAATCCCCTTGATGGCAGGACTTCTATTTGGACCTAACTGAAGATAACAGAAAAATAACACCCCGTGATTATCTAGAACTTGCTTTAAAGTCTGTCCAAGGGAGTGGAAGAGATATAGCTGCTAAAAATGAGGTATCTTTCCTCTTCCTAATTTAGTCATTCCAGGAAGCAATTGACATATATCATAAATGTTCAAATACTAGGATTTTTATTATGTTAGGACTTGGGAGTATTGTTGGGTTCGTAGTTTTATCGGGCTGAGCTTGTACTACTTGTACTAGTAGAATACTTGATTCTCCTTGCGTGACATATCCTATATTCTCTCAATAAATTCTTTTTTATTAGAATTATTCTACAGCGAAGCTCAAAGGAATAAGTTTGGGGCGAGGCACTGGCATATACATTTCTAGCGGATGATGTAGGAGTAAGATCATTTGCTAAAAGATGCAAGTAAAACCCCTAGAGTAATATTTGTATATGTAAGTAGAAATACAAGTTGTATATTGTTTTACACATAGCAGGCCCTTTTATGGGCAATATTAAAACCCGAAAAACAAATAAACAGTCTCTAGAACTTCCCTAATCTATTTCCTAATAGGACTCTAATTCTACTGTAATTGCCTTGCAATGGCTTAAATTAAGCAAACAAAATTTATGAAAATTATTACTGGAAAAGTAATATTATAATCATAATAATAGTTGACCCCCGTTTATACTGCATCAGTTTCCCGTCGCTTGAAAAAAAAGCTGTTCCTTGAGGTTTTCAGTTGATCTAAAAGTTTTTCCCTCCATATAAAAGGATACTTTGAATGTCTGAAGTTCTTTACTGACTTTTTCTACAAACTTTGAGTAATCATGATCCGTTCTGCTCACCAGTTTAATTGATTTTCATTAACAATTAAATCTCGAACAAAATCTGAGCACAACACATCAAACCCTGTAAAATCAACTATTGAATCTGAAACTTGGGTTGTCAAAGTAATAGTCCGATTCGTTTAGAGTATTAGTAAACTTCCACTTCTGAACCTACATTAGAATTTCCACCTATTCAGTGTACTTCCAGATTTGGAATATTATTCATCAAGATATTTTATGCTCCTATTGTCTTCTACTGCTGTTTTTTTCTTTCCTCTCATTATGAGATGTGGATTATAATTTTTTGGAAATACATTTTGCAAGCTTTTATAGCACACTGGTAAGTGTAAAATATGAACTTTATTTCTTCTCTGTAGTTGCTAATTTTCTGACAATATCACTCAGTAGATTCGAGATTCTATTCGGGCTTTATTCCCAGACAGGGAATGCTTCACCCTTGTGCGACCTTTGAACAACGAAAATGATCTACAGCGAATGGACCAGATATCGGTCAGTAACTTATCAGCTGCCATATTATTTTGCAGTCATTCTGTTATCTCTTTTTTGATATTTTATCATAAATATGCAGTTGGACAAATTACGACCTGAATTTCGATCTGGCCTTGATGCTTTGACCAAGTTTGTTTTTGAAAGAACAAGACCAAAGCAAGTTGGTGCAACTATGATGACAGGCCCTGTATTGGTTGGTATAACTGAATCTTATCTGGATGCAATCAACCATGGTGCTGTGCCTACAATTTCTTCCTCCTGGCAGGTTAATGCTAAATCTTTAAATTATAATTCAGACTTATGCGAGAGGACCATCTTTAACATATGATATATCATATAAAGAATTCTTTAATGCAAGTAAAACATGCTCAATATTTTTGCCACATGTTGTAATAAGATGAATGTTATATTTTAGAATTATTAGTTGCTCATTGCATAATATAATTTTTAGCCATCCAATGTCCTGTTTTGCATTTTATCTCACTTGAATTATGCTTGAGATTGGTGTCTTTCTTCTTCTTTTTTTAAAAAAGATTTGGCCTGTCCAGGAAATAAGATGATTGATAAAGCTTTGATCATTGATGTAGCTGGTGCATAAATGACAATATTCGTTCTTTGTGCCGTTACCAAAATGTTTTCTATAAGTGGATATTTTATTTGCAATTGAAGGAAATCCATTCTCATAAATCGATCTTGTGAATCACATTCTACTTCAATGACCTTTCCTTTAATGTGAATACTTACTCTTTCTCTGACTCTTAAATTTATACCTGAAAGAATCAAGAATGTCATTTTTTCTTCTTATGAAGTATATTTTATCTATTAATGGGGGAAGAAACATGACATCGTGCAGATTTTTTTGCAACATAGTTTGTTTGAATTTGGGAAAGAAAATATGATAATAACTTAATAAGTCAATGTTCTTGAATTTTTGCTTGCTGGCTTGCAGAGTGTTGAAGAAGCCGAGTGTCGGAGGGCATATGATTCTGCTACTGAAGTTTATATGTCTTCTTTTGATCGTTCAAAGCCACCTGAGGAAGTGAGTAATCTATCTGCGTGATGTAAATGTTGATTATATAATTCTTTTCTTTTTCTTTCCTAATTGCAGTGCTTGTAGGTTGCTTTGAGGGAGGCACATGAGCAAGCAGTTCAAAAGTCAATGGCTGCTTTCAATGCTAGTGCAGTAGGAGTTGGTTCTGCAAGGAAGAAATATGAGGGCCTTCTTCAGAAATTCTTTAAGAAGGCATTTGAGGTATTGGATATTTGAAATTACGGGTGGGATTAACTGATGAAACTTATATGCAAGTTTGTGTATATGTAACTATTTGCTCACCGTGTGTATCTATGCTTTTTCTTTTCGGTTGGGGTGGTATGGGTTGGTTGGTGCAGTATTACATGCACTGGAATTTCTTTGACTATTATTTTGAAACGTGTTCGCCTGTGATGTCATTTGCTTATGACGTTTGGAAATTCGGCTATCCTCAGTAGGCAGCAGACCAGATACTAGGAGGATCTTGTACAATGTTTGTAGGATATAATTTCTACTTCTACCAATGTATGTTTGATCCTCTAGTTTTGTTGAGAGAACCCTCTAGTTTTTCTATTCTAGAGACAACATGTAAGCTACTTGGGCACATCTCATCTAAAAAAAATTAGTTAGTAGCTCATTATTGGACTAATTGTCATGTCAAAGGATTTAGTGGTAGGGTTCCTGCTACTCTTCCATCAGTTTAAACTGAATATGGTTTGATGCTTCTTTATAACCTCTGAGGGTTGGTATGGTTTTGTATTTTAAATGGAATATGCCATATAAGGTGAATGAAGTTTTGTTTTGGCTGTAACACTACACAATGTTAGTCATTCTGTTTCTGGCAGTTTTGGAGGTCATGGGGTCAATATTAGGTCCTTGTTCGTCTCAGTTTAATATATTTTATTAATTTTGTTTATATTTAGTGTGTTTACTTTTAATTCTGGCAAACATCATGTGGTGCTTGTATTAATTTATTGAATTATTAAAATTAATTTTTGGCTTCTAACAAACCTAAATTGGGCATAGTGCTTATACCCTGTTATTGTTTTAGGGGAGAATTCCAAACAATGAACTCAACATCTACATCATTAACACCACCTTTATCCCAAATTATTTGGCAAATTCCAATCAATGAACTCTCGATAATATTTACTATAAAAGACAACAATAATCAGTTTGTGGTTTTTAAGTTAATTCTAGTCAATACATTGTATATATAACCATTACAAGTGTTTATTTTTTTTTTCATGGTAATTATTTATTCACATGCCAATCTTTTAGTTTGGTGTGTGGGGCAATGCTGTGTATGTCATGTTAGTAATATATTGGCCAACAGGATTACAAGAGGAATGCATTTATGGAGGCAGATCTACAGTGCTCAAATGCCATACAGTCTATGGAAAAGAGGCTAAGGGCAGCTTGTAATGCTTCGGATGCAAGGATTGATAATGTTGCGAAGGTAATTGTTTTGGGCCTAATTGTAAATATGGATTTTACATGTTCTAGTGTTTGGTTTCTCTGATCGTATTTACCCAAGAATGTCCCCCTTCCCCCCTCTTGTGTGATTGGGGAATATCATTGGACATTACTAGGCTGTTTATTACAGTATCAGCTCCTTGATGATGGGTTTGTGGGAAGGTGGGACAGCAATTCCTTAAAAATATTTTCACTCAAAAATTACTTCCCCCAAATCCATTCCCGAAAAGCAAATCCTTCTTCTGCTCACCTCTTTTTTACCTTTTTATTATTAGAAGGTTACATCACAAGATTTGTTTAGAGTAGGCATTCCATATATGAATGAGGATCTTTTGTGCAGGTTGCTGGATAAGATTATTCTTTTGTTTGGAATCTTTGGTGATTTATAATTATTCCTTCCGCATGTTTGAGGCCCTAAAAGGAAAAACAAATGAGAGAGTTAGAGAGGGGATGTATGTGTGTGCGTGCTATCAGTACATGTTGTAGGGTCCTCCCCTTTGCAAAAATCAAGGTGGCCTTATTAAAATGACAATCAGGTTTGATAATTTATCTTCGATGCAGGTTCTTGATGCTCTTTTATCTGAATATGAAAAATCAATTCGAGGTCCTGGGAAGTGGCAAAAACTTGCTGTCTTCTTGCAACACAGGTTATTGAATATATTTTTCTGCAAAGTTTTTTTAGGGTCTTTTTTGTGACCTTTTTAAAAAATAATTTTCATGTTGCTGTCAATAGTTTTGAAGGCCCCATGCTTGACCTTATGAAGAGGCTAACAGATAAAGTTGAATCAGAAAAGAGTTCTCTTGCTTTACAATGTCGGTTGATTGAAGATAAGATGGCTCTACTGAACAAGCGGCTGGAAGCTAGTGAAGGCGGAAAATCTGAGTACGTGAAGCGATACGAAGATGCCATCAATGATAAGAAGAAACTAACTGATGAATATATGAATCGCATAACTGATCTGCAAGCTAATCGCCGTTCAATGGACGAGAGGTATTCTAGCTTATTAAAAACATTGGACTCTACCAAGCAGGAATCCATGGATTGGAAAAGAAAATATGAACAGGTTTTATTGAAGCAGAAAGCTGAGGAAAATCAAGCTAGTTCTGAAATAGCAGCCCTCAAGTCCCGGAGTGGTGCTGCTGAAGCAAGGTTAGCAGCAGCAAAGGAACAAGCTCAGTCTGCTCAAGAGGAGGCTGAGGAGTGGAAGCGAAAGTATGATATTGCCATTAGAGAAGCAAAATCTGCTCTAGAGAAGGCAGCTAATGTGCAGGAGCGCACAAACAAGCAGACACAGTTGAGGGAAGATGCTTTAAGAGAAGAATTCTCTGGAACTTTGGCTGAAAAAGTGAGCTCTCCCTCCTTATATTCCTGTCTCATTTCTTTTGCAAATATCTTTTACATAGTATTGCTATTTCATAAAGATCCATAATGAACTGCCAACTTGGGTTCTGATTTGCTCCTCCTTGCTAAACTATCCAGGAAGATGAAATAAAAGAGAAAACCGCCAAATTGGAGCATGCCGAGAGGTGTTTAACAACTCTGAAATTAGAGTTGAAGGTGAGATTCTTGGCTTATGGGAAAGTGTTTGTTCAACAGAGCACTATTATCAAGGGCTCTCACTAAGACAAGATTTATGTTATGCATTTGTATAATGAATTTTGTTTTATATTCTTGATGCATCTGGCCTATTTCTTCTTATTTTATTCTTTGCTTTTTACTATGGTCATGCATGTGGAAGGAGTCCAGAGCTAATGCAGTACATGGCTCCTGGCATTTGGGCCTTTTCAACCATCATGATTTCTTGTCTAATTTTGCACCTTCTTAAATGGTAGATGGTTAAGAATTCTAAACTCAATTACCGGAACTGTTTGAAGCAACAATTTACCCACACTTCAGAAGGAATTGTTTTAATGCCTTTAGCCGATTTGAATTCTCCCACAACTGAATATATAGATGTTCTTTTGGTTTGTTGTATGCTTGTTCATTCCTTTTGGGACTAAATGCCATGTCTGAACTTGCAGGCTGCCGAGTCAAAGATAAGGAGTTATGATACAGAAATATCGTCACTGAGGATAGAAATTAAAGAGTTGACTGAGAAGTTGAAATCTGAAAGTGCCAAGGCCCAATCATATGAGAGAGAAGCGATAGTATTTAAGCAGGAGAAGAGCCATTTAGAGCAAAAGTACCAATCCGAGTTCAAAAGATTTGAGGAGGTCCACGAAAGGTGTAAAACTGCTGAAAAAGAAGCTGCGAGGGCTACTGAAGTGGCTGATAAAGCACGGGCTGAAGCTGGTATAGCTCAGAAGGAGAAGAGTGAGATGCAGAAACTGGCAATGGAAAGACTGGCACAGATTGAGAGGGCTGAGAGGAGAATTGAAAGTTTGGGGAGGGAGAAAGATAATCTGGAAGGTGAATTGCAGAGAGTAAAGGTATCGGAGAATGATGCACTTACCAGAGTTGCGAAACTAGAGGAAAAGGTGCAACAGAGAGAGAAGGATTTAGAAGCACTTTTGGATAAAGATAAAACACACAGGCGTAATAACGCCCAGATTCTAGAACAACTATTGGAAACAGAACGGGAAGCACATACACAGGCAAATAACCGGGCTGACGCCCTCTCTCTACAGCTACAGTCTGCACAAGCCAAAATTGATTCTCTCCATCAAGAGCTGACTAAGTTTCGACTGAATGAAACAGCATTGGACAGTAAGCTAAATACTGCTTCTCATGGTAAGCGTTTGAGGGTAGATGATGACATTGGTGTAGAATCTTTTCAAGACATGGATATGAGCCCTAGAATTGTAAGGGGAACCAAGAGAACTAGGAGTACATCCAGTCCTCTTAAGTATACGCAGCCAGAAGATGGTGGTTCCATCTTTGAGGGTGCAGAGGATAATCATAGTCAGCAAACAGAAGAGGAGGATTATAAAAAGTTTACCATGCAGAAGCTTAGGCAAGAGCTGACAAAACATAACTACGGCGATCAGCTGCTTCAGTTGAAGACTCCCAACAAGAAAGATCTCATTGCTCTCTATGAGAAATGTGTTCTTCAAAAGTCATAGCAGATTTTGAATAGGACTTGTATTGGCATGATGCACGTAATCACCCCGTCTCTGTCTGTCTAAATCTCATTTATACCGTGGTTGCTGACATATAGACTAGAAATATTGTGTGAATTTAACTCTTTTGATTGGTTTTACATATTGGGTGTGTTTACTTGAGTTTGCTAGCAATGATTACCTAGGCCATAGAAAATGTTGATGGCCCGATCTATATTTGTTGACTGCTTGAGCTGTATCTAATACATCTGTATAGTTGCATTTTTGTATTTATTTGTTAACTCTGTTAGCATTGTTTTCATATTATTGTTTGCATATTAGATGGGCTAAATTACATATTGAAACTAGCCTTCTTGTGTGCCCCACCTTTTTTGTTTATGAATTTCGTATTGAAAATAATTCGGTAAACAATGTTTTCTACTTTTTTAATAGAATGAATTTGAGTAAAGCAGGAATTTGTCTTTTGGCCAGACACAAATATTTTATCGGAGGAATCATAGTATGAAATGAACTACACTGTTTGAAAGCTTATTTTAAAGAAATTTTGTTATAGTTTTGAGTTAATATCTTTAAATTGTATTAGAATTGTTTTGAAATCAGTTTTATTCATCTTTTTGATATCTCATTGTTTTGCCGATTGAATGGTTACATCCTCTGCATCGGAACTTAACTTACCGCATTGAAGTGAGAACTGGTGGCACGAACATCTTGCAGAATATAACTTGTAGTTGATGGGTCCATAGCATGGTTAGTAAGCTCGTGCATCACATTGCATGAGTCTCCTTAATAACCATTGCGACAACTAATTTCAGTGTAAAAGCAAAACCTTCACGCACAGCCAAGATTTCCATTGCTGCTGCTAGTCGACACGCTTATCAAGAGCTGCAACAAACTATACGAGGGTCATATAGTAGTACTGTCCCAAGCAGGCAACAGATCTTTCTCAGAAAATAACCATATTCATAATAACCTTAAATGCTAAATTGATCCATTATAAAAGATGACGAAAGCTCATTAATTTCCCATTACACTTGTCGTTATGACCGTACACAATTGAATGACTTCGTTAATCTACATGGAATTTCAACGTAGGGGTTATTTGTCTTTTTAGCACATGCTTTCTCTTCTCTTGCAAATTTGCAATGTAGAATAAAGAAAAGAAGAGCACAACAGAAAGAGCTCTTAAGCATCAACAACTTATGACAAATATAACAGTACATAGCTAGTAGAGCACACTATGCATTTCCTAGTAGTTTACAAAATGCCAAAAGAATCAGAGTGGCCAAGATAACATGTATAGCTACTAACTGTGAAACGCGTCCCTTGTCCTTCCTTATCACCAGCCCTTCAATGATAGGGTAGTTGACAGTAATGACAAAAATTGCTATGAAAAGCTGTATAAACATTTTGTCCCAATCACCGACCAATATCACTCTGTAGATTCCTCCAACAAAGCACGATATGTTGATAGTGAGGAGGGCAAGCATTGGAACTATAAAGACATTTGATGCTCGGAAATCATATTTATCCATTTGGTATAGCAGAGTTTGTTCATCATCCTCTGCTTTATTAGTGGGCAAGAAACTAGCTTCTCTTATACCAACTTTCTTTAGTGTAGCATCCAAACACCCATATAGATGGCATGTAATTGATTTCATCATCCAGATTCTCTGCTCATTTACCCACTTACGTAGTGTTCCCCCAGTCAAGATGACTTCTTGTGAATGTTTTAAAAGAGCTGATAGAAAGATGAATAAAAAGATAATGAAAAATGGGTCTGAAACCTGTCAAAAATATTTTAAAAGAAAAAGTGTTTTAGTATATGAAGCAAATATATGTAAGAATCTGAGATTGAAGGGAAAAATGGTAGGCAATTGAGCTCATTATTATTGTTATGTTACCTTAGGGTACAAGGGTATTCCATTTAGTAGACAGAGCTGAGGGATGGTAGCAAAACACCAAAGAGGCAAGCAATATAGAGGGAAATATGTCAGTTCTGCATAGCATAGTCTCTGAAGAAGTGGCATCCTTGAAATCCCATATATAAGGGCGCAATACCTATTTATACCATTTTCGAACAAACCACAATACCATCTAGTGCCTTGAATCAGCACATCATTCAAATTTGTCGTAGCTGTACCTAGAAACTGTGGCCTAGATGGTTCACAGAAAACTGAAGTCCATCCATTGCAATGCAAGATAAATCCTGTGAGGTAGTCTTCTACTACACTATCATATAGGAAACCAACCTGCAACAGTTCAAAATATATATATATATATATATGCTTTTTTCTACATGAATTTTGATGCAATAACTAAATGTAATATAAAGTCTACTTACCTCTTGTCCCCATTTAGTGCCAATTTCATACTTACAAGAAGCCAACAAGTGAGGTTCTTCTAGCAATGAATTTCTACCAGACGCTAAATCACTTGTGTAGTTTTGATTAAGTGATTTGATGAATTCATTAGATGAACCAAAATATTCTTTAAGTTGCAGCAGATCAGTCCCTAACATTCAAAACTCAGAACAGTAAAGAGTATGGTAACCTCGTAAGATAAGGGTAATGCTCATAATATATATGTCAATGTCGTAGAAATCTTGTTTTAGAAGCAACTAGATAAATAATTGTGTTCAATACCTTTGCTCTTGAGATTTCCACACAGTGATACCCTTTTTATATAAAAGCCAGTACCTGACATCACTGGCCCCTTAAGCCCGTCCATACCTCGCCATTGTAGCTGATGTTGTCCAAAAATTTTAGTAAAACATAGCAAACATTGCAACATCATCACTTTATGGGACATTAAAAGAAGGTATTGTAAAGGTTAGTTTCGAATTCCTTACTGTAAATATTGATCTTAGCTGGCTATCATAGATGTCATTCTTGCTAATGTTGTGAAATTTCTGAGGAAATTGAACAAAAGCTAAGGAGGATGATATCTTTGGATCAAGGTGAAAACACATAGCATATCGAGCTGAAGTTGGATCATTACAGAACATGTCACAATCTAGAACTAGAATGTAGGGAGAATTGCTCATCACAGCAGAGGTGCGAAGCTGCAAGATTATTATGTAATTACATTTGTTGTGTTTGTAAAGCAAGTTTTGTGTATGTACTTTGGCAGATAAAATAAAAGTATAGTCATACAAGGACATTGAGGGCTCCAGCCTTGAAATGGTGGGGATGAGAGGGCATTTTCTCACGAGAGACATAAACAAGGAGAGGCAATTTGACGCCATCTACATCATCAATGATATTTTCTTGCATAACCTGCCAAAATCAGATTCATTAGACAACTTGTCTAAAATAAACTGTTTCTCATGGCAGCCAAATTTCATCTAAGTTGAAAATCCACAAGCATTGACTGATTTTGTTGTCATATGATTGTAATTTATTGACAACTCTAGCAGCTCAAAGAAGATTATCGCTGTCATGTATAATTATTCTTCATCAAACTTGTTAGAGAAGCATGTGTGTGTGGGATATCAAGCCTCAAATTGGATAAGTTAAAGGAATGAAGATGGTTTATAACCTTGGAGTTAGTATTGTCAAGCTGTCCAATTCAATATTCAAGCCAAAATGAAAAATGCATGTACTAGTGAATAATGAAATGCTATTATACCTCAATGATAGATGGGTGATCTCGAACAGTTATGCCTGGACCAAAGGCTTTCTCTTCTCTGTATGTATTTATCTCTTCCTTAAAAGCCTCATACTTTTTCTGCAAATTGTTGATTTTCATTATAAAGCAATGCTACTAAAAGTTCTGTAACTCAAAATATTCAATGAAACCAAGTTTCATCATAAAACTCAAACCTTAATTTCTTGCTTATCTGCCATGTACACACTACTCCTGGCAAAATCACTATCATCATTCTCAGAAGCAGAAAAGTAAGCCTTGGGGCACCTGTTCTTTATTCTGTACCTTGTGCAGAAGGGAAGCCACAACCTTGCAAATTTCCAAGACTCCCTCACACCATGAAGAGTAATGGGGGAACCCCCATCATCAGAAAGATACACATGAAGCTTCTCTGGAGGGTAATCCAGTGCCATGGCTGATAAAACAGTATTCATAACCTCTAAAGTGGGCTCCTTAATTGGATCAGCAGTGCATATGAAAACATCAACACAAGGAAGCTTGTCATCCTCTGGCAATCTTTCTGGGAACACAGAACGTGAAACAGGACGCCAACGAAAAGCTTGGCCAAGGATCCAAATGAAGGAGAGAATGATTTCTGAAGCAAAAACAAGAAGCCATGGTAGCAAGTGGCTTCCTCTAGTTTCTGGGTCTTGGAAAAGAAAGCACACCCTGTAATAGAACAAGAAGCCTAAAGCCGTTGAATGGAGGAGTATATGTAACCTATTGATAATAACCAACAGCTTTTGGACATGGCAGATATTGAGAGGAAGGGTTCCCTTACTGGCCTCCATTTCTCCCCAACCATACAGCAATTCATGTGCAATAAGTGTATTGGTATGTATGGTTTTCACTTATTTCCACTCGTTAACGATGAGATAAGAAAAAAAAAATGTATGATTTTTAAACGAATAATTATGATCATCAGATAACATGACTATTTTTTCACATCTAAATCTCCCACGCACCTTAATTCCCAACAACTCTCCTCTGTTATAATGTATTTTATTTATGGTGCGTCTTAGTTTAAAATTCTTGTGTTTCAACTTTCAACTTTGACACGCTTGAGAATTTAAAAAAATTGGCATGAAGACTAAATGGTTCGTGTTGTATTTGTCCTTATCAGAAAAGCCACTATGATGTGCACTGTGCAGCCAAAACTACATTGACTTTGCTGAAAGTACTGTACGTGAAAATGTAGCCCAGGGTGCGCGGTTCAATGCAAACTAAACAAATACTTAGAGCCATTTGGATGGGCTTTATTTTTTCTTCAAAAGCTTCTTTTCTTAAGAAAAAAAGCACTTCTTGAAAAAAGTCTGTTTAGATGTCAGTTTTAAAAAAAAAACAGAAGTCATAAAAAAAGTCAAAAATTTACTTTTTTTCGGAAGCTAAAAATTTTAACTTTTAAAAAAAGCAGAAGTCAAAAGCCAAATTTTTTTTTTTCAAAAATCAATTTTTTTTTAAAAAATCTAAATAGCTGTCACTTTTATAGAAAGTACTTTTAAAATAAGGAAGTGATAAAAAGAGCTTTCTTAAAAAGCCAATACAAACGCACCCTTAGTCAAAGTTCATTCATTGCTTTTTTCATTAAATGAAAAAAAAAAAAACTACTCGCCTTAGAAAAGTTCATTGTTAGTGTGATACGTAAAATCATTAATCTAATATCACTCCAAAATTTAAGCTTTTGGATTGAATTAATTTTTTACATAGTATCAGAAATTTTGTGTATCGGGTTCGATTACTGCTCCCTCTTCTTTATAGTGGAATTTCTTTCTTGGCTCAGATAGATGAGCCTGTCTATTGTACACCCTTTAATTCATTGGGCTCTCGTATGAGAAAACGTGTTGAGATATATAAAACTATAACTTCATTCAAAAACTTAAACTTTTAGATTAAATTGGTTATTTACAATTACATTGCTACATATTCAAGTTTGTCTCAAAATATACGAAAAGGCAATCATTTTCTGAAACCAACTTGAATATCAAGGATGGGATTAATGGAATTTGTATCTCACACAATTCTTTACCAAGTGATCCAAGATAAGCTCAGCCATCCAAACCAGCCACAGGAGTAAATACAATAAACGTTTATTAAGTTGGAGGTTTTTTATTTATTTATTTTAATTTAAATATTAAATAAAAGACTGTTATTCTAACTAAAATAATTATACTTTATAAGACAAACATTTTTTCCTTTGATTAATCCGCGGCAAATAGACCATTTGTAATGTCATTTAAAAAAGAAGAAGGGAAAAGTTATATTTATTATCTATTTTTTTTTGAAAATATTCTAAACGGTTCATTGCTTCGCAACTAATCCGATTCGGGGCGGATCCAGGATTAAGGCTTTAAACCCCTTCCAGAGGTGCCACTGGGGAGATTCAGACACATGCTCTCACTTCCACCTGCTTAGCTCCCATGTAGGGGTGTAAATGGACCAGACTGGACAGAACTTTGACCTTCTTGGCCTAAGCCTACGTAAAAAAATATTCAGCCTCTCTGACCTACTAAAGGCTTTATTTATAAGCCAAGTCTGGCCTATTTTTAAAAATTAGAGAGCCTTATATGGCCTGCAGGCCTTGTAGGCCTCCCTAGTGATATGTTTTTAAAATTTTTTAAAATTTTCACTTGACATTACAAGAGATATAAATTTCACTAGTGAGCATTAAAAATTTTACAATAGTAAAAAAAATAACAATAAAAATATACAGAGCAAAGTTCCACAAAGACGAAGCTCAGAGAAGGGAGAAGCGGCGTTGCACAAAATAATTTAGAGTTGGTACTGATTGCCACCTAAAATAAATATATTATATTATTTTATTTTTAAAAATTAAATAAGCCAGCCTACAAGGCTTTAGGCCAGGCTTGACAAAATTGGCCTATGACCTACTTGTTAAAAAGGCTTTCTTATAAGCCTAAGCTTACTCTGCTTTTCAACGTAGACCGGGCTAGGCCAGGCTCAATGTAGGTCGGGTTGTAGGCTAGGTTAGGTCAGCCTAGCCTATTTACACCCCTACTCCCATGCGCCAACTGAGCTACCACCATTTGGTATTACCTATTTTTCTTACTACCTCTTATTACCAAATCTTAATCGTAGATTTTCGTCAATCTAACGGTTATAATTTATTGAAAATTAATAATTAATTAATAAGTATGACCCAATAAATTATAATCGTTAGATTGATAGAAATCAATGGTTAAGATTTAGTAATAAGAGGTAGTAAGAAAAAGAAGAAGTATATCCTTGCCAAAAAAATATTGTCAAAATAATTCCATTTCAAACTTCTTATAAATTTGAACGCACAATTATCACCATAATTGCATTTTTTTTCTCGTAATTTAATTATAAAATTTACTATGATTTAATTGTCGTTAATTTTATTCAAAATATAATCTTAAATGTTGCTAGCGTGCGACATATAATATTCTTGTGCAAAACTTATTATAAAGAATCAAAGATTGATATTATGTTTGAAAAAACAGCATTATTTTTTTTTTCAAAAAATATAGACATGATAAGACGTTTTAAGAAAAATAAATAATATCAGGCATATTTGACCATTTAGGGGTGCTTGAATGGTGTATTTGCCGGTTTGGTATACTCTATTTTTTTGAATTTTTTTAATGAGTTTTGTGGATCCCATTATTATTTTAAACATTAATTATTTTGGATTGTTGGGATCGCGTCACGTGGTGGGATCAGTGAGTTCCCCGAGGTTCCCGAGGAACTTGAAACAAGAAATAAAAAAAATAAAAAATTAATGATTTTCCTAAGAGGTTCGCAAAACTCATTAAAAAACTGGAAAAAAATATAAAAACAGTTCAGCGGGGTCAGTTTGCGAAACCAAATGTAAGAACCCGCATCGTTAATTAAGGAAGTTAAGTATTCAATTATGTGAAATTAGGAAATAATTCTATAATTGACCCTAATAATTATTATGAGGCTTAAATAATTATAGTAAGTGAATTATAATACTGAAAGTCGCTTTTTGGAAGAAAAGTGCAGATACCGGTTCTGCTAGTCGGTATAAATGTGTACCGGAAAAGTATCCCGGAAAATTATGAAAAGTGATTATATATTATGGGAATAATATATAGGACTTGTAAAACGAATTTCAAGTTAAAATAATGAGAATTGGTGTCTGAACTGATACCGGCTTTGGAAAACCGCGTACCATAAAGGTGCTCCGAAAAATATAATAAAAATATGATAATTCTTGTAAAACTGTGTAGTTTTAGAATCCTGAGTTTGGGATTAAAATGCTAAGCGTAGCTAATATTGTTAATACTGTGTGTTGTTTTGAGTGGGCCTTTATAAGCTTAAGGGCACGATGCCCTAGGTTAGAATTATAACACACTACGTGACTCTTTTTGCTGAAGTTGGCAGCCGCCATTGCCACCTTCATCTTCCTTAGCCTTCTTCATCTTGAAACCTCATCAAGTGACCACCTTTCTTCATAGTTTCTTCACCTTAACACCATAGTTTGGTGTGAGCTTGCCTTGTGAGGGAGGGAAACACTTGTTGCTGAGTTGAGCCTCTGTTTTGTGGGAGTTTTGTGGGCTGAGTTGGTGTTCCCATTGGTGTGAGCCTTTGTTCATGCCATTGGAGGCTTCAAGGAGCCATCTTTAAGGGTAAATGTCCAAGCTTGTGTTGTATTTTCGTGGCTTGGCAAAGTCAGTACCTTGGAGCTGTGTTGGAGGTTCCATGTCAGTGCCATTTTCGGAGTCTTGGTGCCTTGGAGGTATTCATGATCATCCTTTGTGCCTTTTGAGGCCTAAAGCTTGTTTAATCAATTAATAAATGAAACTTTAACCGTTTGAGTAAATGAATGTGTTTTTGGGTTCATAACATGTTGGGGTATATCTGTTTAGGGAGTCATTAAACTCCCAATCGCTTTTGGACCTTTGAATTCGAGTTTACGCAGAAGTCTGCTCAAAATTCTGCATTCTAGTGAAGAAGTATTCGGATACTTTTCGTGTGGTATTCGAATACTTGTTCACTAGTAGTCGAATACTCCTTGCAGGAGTATTGGAATACTTTTCTGGGAAGAAAAGTATTCGGATACCTTTGAAGAAGTATTCGAATACTGGGAAGTATTCGAATACAGTAAGGTTTGGTATTCAGATACTGAGGTATTCGGATACTGGGGTGAAAGTATTCGGATACTTTAATGAAAGTAATTGAATACTTTCTGGAGAGCTGGAGTATTCGAATACTACTCGTGGAGTATTCGAATACTTCCTGCAGAAACTACATGTAATGAGTTAAAATGAGTAAGAAAGACTTAATCACTTAGTGTAATCTGAGCCATGATTATTGATGACTAATTATGGTATGGGCAGATTGTGATTGTGCTGTTTGTGGGCCTTGAGCTTGTGTGGACTCTTGGCATTGGATAGATAGCTTGCAAGGTAAGCTTTCGTGTCCTCGGTTTAGCAATGTTGTGGTTCCACCATGTCCCATGGGGGTATGGTTATATGCATGCTGTGTTACATACTTTTGGATATTTGATATGTAATGTATGGACGAAATGTTAGTACTTGTGCAATCAGGCAGCCACCCTGGTGTACAAGGCATATATAATGTATGAATGTGATGTAGTACTTGTATGATCAGGCAGCCACCCTGGTGTGCAAGGCATGAGGCAGCATCCCTCATGTGGGTAGGTGACAGACGTGTATAAGCCCTATCCTGTTCCCTGGCCAGTCGAACCGCACTTACATACATCACATGATCTAGGAGTTGTGGTATTTAGCTCGTTGAGCAAGAGATTATATGGTCATTATATAAA